ATGTACCTCTGAGGTGTAGTACAGTATAAAGTACTACATGTACCTCTAACTCCTAGTTGTGTTCCAGAACAAGTACAAAGAGGACGGGAGGAGGACGGCCTCCATCTCTCTCTACTCTCAACTCGCCGACACTCCAGAAATACAACACGCTCTGGAGATGTCACAGCTGCACAGTGAGGTACACAAACACGGGGTTTATGGGTAATGTAGTCTGAGCCAGGAGAACCTGCAGTAGTGACGCCTCACGTTCTCTCTCTCAGGTGAATTACCGCCCTAAGGTGCTGGTTAAAGGAGCTCCATCGTCTCTTTACTCTCAGCTGCCCGACACCTCGGACATCCAGTTTGCCCGAGAGATGACGGAGATGCAGAGCAAGGTACAATAGAGTTTAAATGTCATTCTGTTTACTCTGAGACTATTTAAGTCAGTCAGCAGCCTCACATTGAGCCTGACGTGGTCATGACTCTAACAAACATCATGGTGGGTGAGATTCCTGCACAGGGATTAGTATTATATTTGAAAGAGTGAACTGGGCCTTTACAGAGTTACACAAAGACAACAACAAGATGATCCATAAACCTGTGACAGTGAGAGAGTTGAACCTGTCCCTGACTGAACTGGTTCTGGTTCTTCTCTCAGAGTAAATACAAGGAGGACGGCAGGAGGAGACTCTCTCAGAGCTTCTACTCTCAGCTCTCTCAGACCGCCGACACTCAGTTTGCTAAAAGTGTCTCTGAGCTGCAGAGCGAGGTGAGACGCTGCTACAGCCGCAAATCAAAGCCGACGCTGTCGGAACAAAAACAAAACATGCCGCTGATTCAGATGTGTTTTATTTTACAGATGCGGTACAAGGAGGCGGGTAAGAAGGGCGTGAACTCCTGTTTGTACTCTCTTCTGCCGGAGACCCTGGAGACGGCTCACGCCAGAGAAGTGTCTGAGCTGCTCAGTGAGGTACGTTCACGAAGATCTTAGGCAGGAAATAATGAGAATAGATGTGAAACATTTAAATCATACCCTCTAAACAGCTGATCTCTATATCTGGCGGTATTATTATGGTATTATTATGGTATTATTATGGTATTATTACTGTATTATTATGGTATTATTACTGTATTATTATGGTATTATTACGGTATTATTACTGTATTATTATGGTATTATTACTGTATTATTATGGTATTATTATGGTATTATTGCTGTATTATTATGGTATTATTATGGTATTATTGCTGTATTATTATGGTATTATTGCTGTATTATTATGGTATTATTACGGTATTATTACTGTATTATTACGGTATTATTACTGTATTATTGCTGTATTATTACTGTATTATTATGATATTATTATATATGGTATTACTGCATTATTGCAGGTGAAGTATAAAGAGGAGGGTAAGAAGGAGATGAGCATCAACCTGTACTCTCTGCTGCCGGAGACCATCGACACCCAACACGCTAAAGAGGCGTCGAACCTGCAGAGTGAGGTATTCAGACGACTCTCTTCTCTGTTTCTAACATTATATATATTAATAATTAGAAATAGTAGATAACGTGGATCTCCTGCAGGTGAAGTATAAAGAAGGTGTGAAGCAGCAGATCCAGAGCAGTTTGTACCATCAGCTCCCAGAGACCACCGAGACACAGCTGGCCAAACATCTGTCTGAGCTGCAGAGCGAGGTACGCAACCTTGTCTCCTAGAAATTACGTTCCAATGCAACAAAGTTTTAAATAAATTACTTTTGGTTTCACAGCGACACAAACAGCGGTCTCCTGGGTGAAAGTCCTCCCAACGCAGACTTATGTGGACTTTGATTAGAACTAGAGGTGCAACGGATAAAAGAACTCACGGTTCGGATCAGAGATCACGTTTTCACGAGCCTGAAGGCATCATAATGTAACTGAAGTGAACCTCCGTTGGTTAGCCGTTAGCGGTGCTGCTAACGTTACTAGCTCTCCTCCTGTTGGTTAGCCGTTAGCGGTGCTGCTAACGTTACTAGCTCTCCTCCTGTTGGTTAGCCGTTAGCGGTGATGCTAACGTTACTAGCTCTCCTCCTGCTGGTTTAAACACTGATTGGTTGTTTACAATGAGACATGATCAGAGGTCAGAGACTAGAAACACATCAATGTCTTTATTTATAGAACTTTATGGATATAAACTTTATTTCACATTGTGATGTTTAACGTTAAACTGTCTCATATCTGCAGAACAAGTACAAGGAGGCGGGTAAGAAGGAGGCGAGGACGTCTCTGTACTCCCTCCTCCCTCACACCATGGACACGCTGCACGCTAAAGAAGCTGCAGAGCTGCTCAGCGAGGTCAGAACCAATCAACGGCTTCTCTACTCTCACATTTCTAAGAGTTGATTGGTTCTCACCCAAACCACCAATATTGCAACTGTTAGGTTCAAGGAACCTCTAGACTGTGGGGAAACCGCATGTGATCCAGCCTCTTACACAAAGACAGCCGGTTTCAATTATGAACAAAACATTTAATACTTCTGAAGCTAAAACAAATGCATAGTGAAGTACATTATTTACAGTTACACACAATATGACCCGCTCACCAGAAAGCGTTACCACCCAACCCGTGCAACAGGAGCAAGAGACCGGAAGTTCTTTCTCTCCCGCCTTACATAGTTCAAAAAACATACCATAATGTCCGTAGTTCCTATTGGCTAAATCCAGCTGGCTCCTCCTTCTCTCTGCCAGCTAGGACCCCCCTGGCTCGGGTGATGCTCCTTCTGCGTCCGCTGCAATTGCCTGTCTAGAAATCTCTGTCTATCCCTCCGCTACTCTTTACAGTTTAATACATTCAATGACTGTCTTTTATGGCTTAACACTTCCATGATAAACATACTATATAAAGATAAGGTTTTGCAACTTTTGGCAAAAACCACAAGTTTCACAAGCATAGATCTAAAGGTGCTACAAATTCTACTAAGATACATTTCTAACTACAAATTCTAAAACACTTCTACAATTATGAATCTTCTAATTATTTATTCCAAAACACTTCTAATTATGATTTGTTAATTATGAATTATTAAACACTTCTATTATAATTTCTTAAAGCACAGTTCTAAACCCAAATTTCCTACACAACACAACGTTTTCATATTTCAGATCAAATGCAAAGAGAACGTGAAGAAGGAGACGGCCAGCTCGCTGTACTCCACTCTGCCTGACACGTCTGACACCAGCTTCTCCAGAGAGATGACCAGCATGCAGAGCGAGGTACAGAGAAACACAGGAAACACAGAGTACATGAAGATACCTCTCAGGGAATGTGTGATAAGTATTGAGACCCAAGCTTTGACTGAAAGATGCCCTTCATACAGTTCGTTAAAGTATCCCAGATGTCCTCACAGTACGAAAAGTCCTGTGGGTATTTGCACTTAGACAGTGTGATGTTTGGTGTAGTTAAGAAATGTCACTGGAGTCTAGAAGTTACTTAAATATGTTCTCAAGAGCCTTTAGGTTGTAAAAAGGCCAGTTTGATCTAATTCACCAGGACTTAAAGGAACATTCTGCTGACATCTCTGTCATTAAATCCTTTGTGTTATAAAGCTCCATTAAAAACACACTAGGTGACTCACTAAAGCACCAAACATGGATTAATCCGACGCTGAAAATAGCCCCCGAACAAATGCTCTCATGTCCTCGTGTTTGTTTGAAAGTATGTGTTTTTGAAGATTTGCGTCTTCAGTTGGAACCAATGGGCTCAGATACAACAACATATTAAGGCCATTGTAGGTGGAAGTATTAATAAATCAGGGAGCCGGGGCAGAGGGGTCATATTCAGAGAAAATTATGAAGTTCTCTGAGATAATCTTTCAGTTTTTTCTGGAAAATTTGTCACTTAAATCAGAATTTGCAGTTTTTCATAATATATGTCAATATCTTGATTATAAATCAAACTCATCTCTTTGTTTTCCATCTTTTCCAGAACAAGTACAAGGAGGACGGGAGGAGGAGCCTCTCTCACAGTTTCTACTCTCAGCTTCCACAAACAGCCGACACTCAGTTCGCTAAAACGGTCTCTGAGCTGCAGAGCGAGGTGAGCGGAGACTGAAGCTCTTCACACATCCTGTAAAATGTTACCAAAGTTTTCATCCTCCTAAATGTTGTCCTCATGATTAGTGGCGTCCTCTGAAGACAAAGTGGAACCCAAAGTTGTCCTGACAAAGATAAACGTTTAAAATCTGATTCCAGGTGAATAAATGCTGAATCAGACGTTCACCGCTACGCCGACGACACTCAACTTTATATTTCAGTGTTTCTCTTACGTCAGCACTTCTCTTCAATACTATAAATTATTTTTATTATTCAGTATCTCGTGATGTCAAAACCACAACGGTGTATTAAAAAAATATAAAAGAGATAAAAATATGGAGATAAGGGAGGAGAGTTGTTTTTTTTAATTAAATTTTTCGAAAAAAAACTTGAATATTTTCTGAAATTTTCAAGTCATAAATCTGCGTCAAAAAAACTCAGAAATTCAGATAATAAAGTCCCAAAGTATTAAAAAATGTATAATAAAAAAAAAATAAGTAAAAAACAATTCGAAAAGAGAAATATAAATAGTGTTTATTTCACGTTTATTCGTTTTTTTCATTAAATATTAACCCTGTAGAGTAATTCTTTAACTGGACAGAAGCTCAGAGACAACAGGTCTGGACACATTTGGAGTCCTCATGACTTAGTAGGTTTTTAAAGAGGAAGTGTGATTGGAAAGCGGTTTGAAGCAACAAGCTCATTTGTTTTTTTAGATGAAGTACAAAGAAGCAGCAAAGAAAGGAGTGAGCAGCTCTCTGTACTCGACTCTACCAGAGACTCTGGAGACGCAGCACGCTAAAGAGGCTTCACATCTGCAGAGTCAGGTACACAAACACACACAATATCTGGAACTCACTGTTCTTAATTGACAGCTACGATCAGAGGTGGTGATGCACCTGAAGCTGGTTAGGGTCTTAAATTCAGCTCTGCAGCTTACTCACCTGTCTTCTTGTATTATCTGACAACTGTTCAATCTGTACAACACTCCCTCTAAGACAGATGTGTCTTTAATTTGCAGCTTTGTTCACCAGGTCAAGCACCTTTTCCTCAGCATGTCGATGTGTTTTATTCTGCTTCTATTTCCTCTCTGATCTGGTGATGTTTGTTCTCTATAAGCCGAACCACATGAAGTGATTGTTGTTGTGTGTTTTGACCACGTGTGACTGCAGCTGAAGTACAAGCAGAGTTTAAAGAAAGACTCCAGTCTGTTCCACCTGATGCCAGAAACCAATGACACTCAGTTCGCCAGGCAGCAGACGGAGATGCTCAGCGAGGTACGAACGCTTTCTGCAACAAAACGTTGGGATTTTGTGGTATTCATACATCTATATTTGACCGATTAACACACAGAGATAGAGACTGTGTTTCAGATGATGTTCTGCTGTAGTAAGAGAGCTCATCTCTGGGCTGTGTTTCTTCTTTTCCTCACAAGGTCAAGTACAAAGAGGAGGGTAAGAAGGAGATGAGCGTCAGTCTGTACTCTGTGCTCCCCGACACCATCCTCACCCAGCATGCTAAGCAGCTCACGGACATGCAGAGTGAGGTGAGTTACAATGCAGACTTCATAGATCTAGGAATTTACTGCCAACACATCCACACAGGATGAAGCCTTTGATTTATTAAAGATGAGTGAGCTGCAGCACAACACATGATGGGTATTTCGTTTTTCCCGTCCTATGTATCTTCGTACAACGGTTCGTATGATATCGTACGAAAAGTTACTCCTCATTTCACATTCCTACGAAAGTCCAGCAACAAAGAGTGACAAGTGTCGATTTCCGCTCGTTACTTGAAAACAGTCTTTTCAAAATAAACTTCCGTCTTCTCAGGAAACAACTTAGTTACGTTTAATAAAAGATCGTGAAATATTTAGTTAAGTTGAGCAAAAAGATCGTGAAATACTTTGTTAGCTTCAGGAAACGATCGTGAAATATTTAGTTAGGTTGAGATAAAGATTGTGAAATATTTAATTCGGTTTAATAAAAGATTGTGAAATACTTTGTTAGCTTCAGGAAACGATCGTGAAATATTTAGTTAGGTTCAGGAAAAGTGTAAATGTATTTAGAGTCTACAGACATGAGACTTTCAGCACGAAACCTGAATCCTCACTGTGTCTCTCAGGCTAAATACAAAGAGGCCGGTAAGAAGCAGACGTCAACGTCTCTTTATCACCGACTTCCTGAAACTCTGGAGACGCAACACGCTAAAGAGGCCTCGCAGCTGCAGAGTCAGGTAAACATGGAACAAAAACAGTAGAAATCCTCTCCTGTGTTCGTGAAATATAGATTAAAGTTTACTCATAAACATGCAAACCCACCAAACCTCCCTCGAGTTTCTGCATGTTTTAGAAGTTGTTGTTTGATCTCAGATGTCTCATTCATCCCTTCTGTGTCCTGCAGATCTCGTACAAAGAGGCGGTGAAGAAGCAGTCATCATGTCCAGTTTACCACCAGCTGTCCGACACTCTGGAGACGCAGTTCGCCCGAGAGCTCACCGACATGCAGAGCCAAGTATGAGCAAAGCTGCTTCACAGCCGCACATTTTAGATACGACGTTAAAGCAGCAAAAGTAGATCCTCAAGTTTTTACAATGCACATCATCCTGATTCGATAATAATATTTGATATTTAGAGAAACATGAGACATGTTGTTGTTATTGCAACTCTCAGCACAAGATCCACTTAAAGTCACTATGAGGAACTTTGAACTGGTTCTGAACCAGTCTCAGTGTAGTCCTGATCCTCTATGTGAACCAGTCTCAGTGTAGTCCTGATCCTCTATCAGACCTCCATCAGTAGAGAGACCATCAGAGAGAAGATGGTCTGTTTCTATAGAGTTATTCTTGATGCTCGTCATCGGAGCCACCGGGTCGGATTCTGGTGAAACCAGATGAAGTCATGCAGGTTCACCAGAACCTCCTTCAGCTCAGACTCCAGCAGAGACCGGCTCACCGTGGACAGACCCAGATCCTCCAGCAGAGACCGGTCCACCGTGGACAGACCCAGACCCAGAGATAAAAGTTCTTTAGCTTTAAAGGAAATTTTCCAGAGCTTTCAGTCACCACTCATGGACTTTGTCAGTGGATGAAATCTGTTCACCTAGCTGATTAAAGAGAAATTAAAATTATGAACTATTTTTATCAGATGGCAGGTTCTCAGTCAATCTATAGTTATAGAGTGAAGCAGTGTGTGTGTGTGTGTGTGTGTGTGTGTGTGTGTGTGTGTGTGTGTG